AAACCCAGATTGACCCCACACCATCCACTAACACCCAGGATGTAACCCACCCAGCCCACTAACACCCAGGATGTGACCCAAACCATCACTAACACCCAGGATTGACCCACACCAGTCCCACTAAACACCCAAGGGTGTGACCCCACATTCCACTAACACCCAGGTGTGACCCACACCAGTCCACTAACACCCAGGATGTACCCACACCAGTCCACTAACACCCAGGATGTGACCCCACCAGTCCACAAACACCCAGGATGTGACCCACACCAGTCACTAACCCCCAGGATGTGACCCACACCAGTCCACTAAACCCAGGATGTGACCCACACCATCCACTAACCCCCCGGGATGTGACCCACACCAGTCCACCTAACCCCCAGGAGTGACCCACACCAGTCCACTAACACCCAGGATGTGACCCACACCATCCACTAACACCCAGGATGTGACCCACACCAGTCCACTAACACCCAGGATGTGACCCACACCAGTCCACTAACACCCAGGATGTGACCCACACCAGTCCACTAACCCCCAGGATGTACCCACACCATCACTAAAAACCCGGGATGTGACCCAAACACCAGTCCACTAACACCAGGATGTGACCCACAACCACCACTAACACCCAGGATGTGACCCACACCATCCACAAACACCCAGGATGTGACCCACACCAGTCCACTAACACCCAGGATGTGACCCACACCAGTCCACTAACACCCAGGATGTGACCCACACCAGTCCACTAACACCCAGGACGTGACCCACACCAGTCCACTAACACCCAGGATGTGACCCACACCAGTCCACTAACACCCAGGTACCTATTTTAATGATGAGCGAACAAAGACAGCAGGTGTAAGGAATTACACCCAATTTTTCCACCCTCTCCCGGGATCGAACCCAGACCCTCAGCGTGTGAAGTCAGAGCTTTGCCAACCAGGCCACGGGCCACCCTAGAAATAAACTTACTCCAAGTAGGTAGACTTCCACCCGTGCCGGGGATAGATCCCAGACACTTTGTATATGAACTTAGCTAAATAAAGAAACAAAGACATTTCAGACCAGTATCTACCTCTGGCGAAGTAAGGTTAAGTTTCTTATTATATCCACAATATAAACACGACTAACTCACGTACTATTGACCGTTTTAAGAGTGAATTATCGATCACCTTAATATTTGACCAAATAATTAATATAAACTCTCTCAGACTATTTTGGGTTATCATAAGTAATTTACACAATTGTTACTAGGTATAATAATTGTATTTATATGTACCTGTACCTAAATAAATCTACAAAACAAGTTTAAGAAAGTTTTAAAAGAACTACAGGAATGTACCAAAATATTCGACTAAATGATTCGTTCCAAATTGAAATTTATTTATTTATTTATTAATTTGAACATAATACAGAGAAATACAAGGAATATATATTTATATATTTTTATATATATAATATATAATATATATATATAATATTATATAATATATTTTATATATATTATATATATATAATACCTGGAGTTTACCTGGAGAGAGTTCCGGGGCAACGCCCCCGCGGCCCGGTCTGTGACCAGGCCTCCTGGTGGATCAGCGCCTGATCAACCAGGCTGTTGCGGGCCTGGTTTGCACGCAAACCAACGTACGAGCCACACCCCCGGGCTGATCAGGAACTGACTTTAGGTGCTTGTCCATGCCAGCTTGAAGACTGCCAGGGGTCTGTTGGAAATCCCCCTTATGTGTGCGGAGGGCAGTTGAACAGTCTCGGGCCCCTGACACTTATTGTATGGTCTCTTAACGTGCTAGTGACACCCCTGTTTTTCATTGGGGGGATGGCGCATCGTCTGCCAAGCCCTTTTGCTTTCGTAGTGAGTGATTTTCGTGTGCAAGTTCGGTACTAGTCCCTAGGATTTTCCAGGTGTATATAATCATGTATCTCTCCCTCCTGCGTTCCAGGGAACCCCAGGTTTAGGAACCTCAAGCGCTCCCAGTAATTGAGGTGTTTATCTCCGTTATGCACGCCGTGAAGGTTTCTCTGTACATTTTCTAGGGCACAATTTCACCTGCCTTGAAAAGGGGCTGTTAGAGTGGCACAATATTCCAGCCTAGAAAAGAACAAGTGACCGAAGAGTGTCACATGGGCTTGGCCCTCCCTATTTTTGAAGGTCTCATTATCCATCTGTCATTTTTCTAGCAATCGATTGATACAAAGTTATGGTCCTTGAAGGGGAGATCTCCGACATGATCACTCCCAGTTCTTTGACGTTTGTTTCGCTCTATTTTTTTTGGGCCCGAATTTGTTTTGTCTCTGATGAAGATTTAATTCACCTGCTTGAAAGGTGCTGTAGTGTGCAGCAATATTCCAGCCTAGATGAACAAGTGACCTGAAGAGTTTATCATGGCTTGCCTCCCTAATTTTGAAGTTCTCATTATCCATCCTGTCATTGTTATTTCTTATTTTTGCTAGTAAGGTTAATTATTTTGTTATGGATATTTATATATAATTTTTCTTAGTTTTAGTGGTTAAAATTTTTAAGTTTAATGTTAAGTTAAAATTGTGTTTATGTGGACTAAATCAAATTTAGCTCGTGTTAATGCTGGAGGTAATTTAAAATATTATTAATATATATCATAATGTAACCGTATTTATGTATAACCTGTACCTGAATAAATGTACTTATTTGCTTATTTATGACTTTTTTTAATGACTTATTACTTAGGGAAGTTTAAAGTATTTGTAAAGGGATACAAGCCTAAACCATTTATAAACCTCCGTAATGTTTAACCCCGTAGTTGCTCTGGGTTTATAATTAATTATATAATCTAACTTACTGATTTACTTTACTCACTAACCTATTTACTTTAAATTTAATTAGAATTAGATATAAGTGTGGTAGTTTTTGAGACCCATTATATACTTCTAATTTTTTTTCAACTAACACCACAGGATTCGGGTTCATAATAAAAACATTAACATCACTTACTTACTTACTTAAACACAATTAGAATTAGAATTAGAATAAGATATAGGTGTTGTGGTGGTAGTGAGAGACCCATTATATACTTCTAATTTTTCAACACCCACAGGATGTTCTGGTGTTTCTTTAAAAAAAATTAACATTACTTTACTTACTTAAACACAATTAGAAATTAGAATTAGAATAAGATACAGGTGTTGTGGTGGTAGTGAGAGAGTCGGAGTATAAACGACCAACAGTTCAAATGGCGTCGCGTCCACCATACCCCGGCAAACCCGCCGCTCCTGAGCACCTCCTGTCACCCCTTCAAGGTACCCTGACCAGGGGGGGCAAAGGTACACCTATTTTGGGACCCCAGCAGAGTTACCCATAAGTTTTGTTTTGTAACCCCCCGGGGGGCAGGGGGGTTTAATTGCTCGGTCAAAATCGATTTTCTGTTTTTTTTTTTTTTTCGATTTTTTTTGGGTTTTTGTTATGATGAATTATTAATTAGGTTCGTAAATATGTATTTTGTGTCTTGATTGTCTCCAAAGGAGGGGGGTAAGTGGTAATTAGGTTCGTAATTTGTGGGCTGGTCATACCCGCACCTAAAACCAGGTACCTACTTGTTGGGTAGGTGAAACTGCTGGTGTAAGGTAACTCTCAGGTACCTACTTACTGCTAGGTGAATACTGCTGGTGTAAGGTAACTCTCAGGTACCTACTTACTGCTAGGTGAATACTGCTGGTGTAAGGTAACTAACACTCAGGTACCTACTTACTGCTAGGTGAATACTCTTGGTGAAGGTAACAACACCAGGTACCTACTACTGCTAGTGAATACTGCTGGGTAAGGAACTAATCGGGTCTATTAGTGCTAGGTGAATACTGCTGTTGTAAGGTAACTAACACTCAGGTACCTACTTACTGCTAGGTGAATACTGCTGGTGTAAGGTAACTAACACTCAGGTACCTACTTACTGCTAGGTGAATACTGCTGGTGTAAGGTAACTAACTCAGGTACCTACTTGCTAGGTAATACTGCGTTGTAAGGTAACCCAACACTCAGTCCTACTTACTGCTAGTGAATACTGCTGGTAGGTAACTAACACTCAGACCTACTTACCTGCTAGTGGGAAAACTGCTTGGTGTAAGTAACTAACTCAGGTACCTACTTAGTGCTAGGTGAATACTGCTGGTGTAAGGTAACTAACACTCAGGTACCTACTTACTGCTAGGTGAACACACAGCAGGTATAAGGTAACTAACACTCAGGTACCTACTTACTGCTAGGTGAACACTGACAGCTGGTGTAAGGTAACTAACACTCAGGTACCTACTTACTGCTAGGTGAATACTGCTGGTGTAAGGTGGCTAACACTCAGGTACCTACTTAGTGCTAGGTGAATACTGCTGGTGTAAGGTGGCTAACACTCAGGTACCTACTTACTGCTATGTGAATACTGCTGGTGTAAGGTAGCTAACTCAGGTACCTACTTACTTCTAGGTGAACACTGACAGCAGATGTAAGGTAACTAACACTCAGGTACCTACTTACTGCTAGGTGAACACTGACAGCAGATGTAAGGTAACTAACACTCAGGTACCTACTTACTGCTAGGTGAACACTGACAGCAATAAGGTAAAATAAACACCAGGTACCTACTTACTTCTAGGTAACACTGACAGCAGATGTAAGGTAACTAACACCCAGTAAACCCACTACTACTAGTTAACACTGACAGCAGATGCAAGGACTAACACTCAGGTACCTACTTCTAGGTGAACACTGACAGCAGATGTAAGGTAACTAACACCCAGGTACCTACTTACTGCTAGGTGAACTTGGTATGATAATTGTACCTATATGCACCTGTAAGTTTAATTAGGCATGGGTACACATGCCTAATTAAACTTACTTAAATAATTATCAAAGTGTAAATTACCTAGGATAACCTAAAAAAAATAAATATCTTATTTCTATTATTGTCCTTAAAAAAAATCAATATCTTATTTCCAATATTGTCGTTATTATTCTAGTCGTCACCTTTGACAGACATCCTGCGACTAACACCGACCAGTTGCGCCAGCTATGATATTTTTACAAATACACGAACCCTTTACAATTTAAACCAACTCTGCATTCTATTTCTCAGGTAAGACACATATGCAACAGTTAGGTATCTTTATTTCGAAACGTTTCGCCTACACATGAAATACCAAATGAAAAGCAGGGTGTCACTAGCAAAGTTAAGAGACCATACAATAAGTGCAGGGGCCCGAGACTGTTTAACTGCCTCCCAGCACACATAAGGGGGATTACCAACAGACCCCTGGCAGTCTTCAAGCTGGCACTGGACAAGCACCTAAAGTCAGTTCCGGATCAGCCGGGCTGTGGCTCGTACGTTTGTTTGCGTGCAGCCAGCACAACAGCCTGGTGAAACAGGCCTGGTCCACCAGGAGGCCTGGCACAGACCGGCCTGGGGCTTGAAACCCCCGGAACTCTTCCAGGTAAACTCCAAAGGGAAACCAGTAGGCATATTGCTTGCTAACAACCTGTCGGGATTTTAAAACCCTTTAATGTTCATTCTATTTTTCATGTGGGTTTGGCACTTGTTTTAAATATAAAATAATGTACCTGTTAGTGTTTAAGGATCCATTTAGGTCTAAAACCCTCATTGTTATTTATACCGATCTGGAGATCGAGAGGTAATGGGGCTTATATCAAGGGGATGATACTCTTTTCTTGGATCAAGAGCCCTTTGCCAGCATCAGGGTAAACCTCTCCTGGGGTTCCTGCCCAAAAATGAACGGAAACATACAGCATTTCCCCATTTAACAATTTCAGGAAGTAAGTATGGCATCAAATTCCACCAGTCGGCAGTTCGGAAATGCGGGCCAAGTGCTTTGTTCCAGAATTGTCCGCTAATTTACAGTCGTGCAAATCAACCTCATCTCCACCACCACAGTCATTGTTTACCAGCCGCCTGCTCCCCAGTAGTCCCATTAACACCAAAGTTACCGTGATGGAATGGAAGATGAGGAAAAAAAAATTTTTTCTTCTTTTCCTGGTCGCCTCTTGTGGAAACGTCGATTGTTAATAATAATAAAAATAAAATAAAATATTAAATTTACAAAAATGCCCAGCCTTTCTAGGGTAGGGTAGGTGCCTAGCCAGAGCTTACAGTCACAAGACTGTCATTTCCATTATCCCCCTTAGGGGGGATGGCAGAACCAGGAGGCCTAGCTTGTGGGTTTGGCCTGGGGACAGTGGTCCCAAAGATGAGGAGGTACTTGTACCTCCTCCCTTGGGAGACTTAGATCTCAGACACTCCCTAAAGAGAGAGCCAAGGCCAGGCCACCACTTGGAAAAGGCCCGGGCCGGGAGAATACCGGCGAATCTTTAATAATAATAATAATATAATATTAATTGATATTTGACTGACGATATTTTTGACTTACGATGAGCTTAACAGAATGTAACCTCATCCTAAGCCAAAGAGCACCTGTGTATTATAATTCTTTTAAATAAAATGCTTTTGCAGCAAATGAATGTGCAACGGTCTCAGTACCCTCCTGTTGGGATGGGGGGTCCCACAGTAAGCTCTGCTCCAGGTATGCAGCGTCCTCCAGGACCTCCAGGTTTACAGCCATCACACTGGGGGTATGGTACGCCCTCCATCTATGCCCACAACCCCAGGCTCTAAACGACCTGCCTCTTCTAGCTCATCCAAAAGGTCAGTGCATATACATGTATTGCAATTGAACAATGTGGATAACCCCATCGTTCCATTGATTAACTATTCTGACTGATGGCGTGTTTCATTACGTCTAAGTCTCATTACTTGCATTCATAAATTAAGCTTCAAGAAATAAATGTCTGCTTATTCTTTACTATTTGTAATGTGTAAATTTGTTTGTATTCCTTCAAGGTCCTTATATACAGATACTCCCTACTAGGAACAGGTTTCAGTTTTCCCAGTGTTGTTCTTACTCTTGACTCTCTATTCGTAATGAATGATTGAAAATGCATTGGTCTGATTTATGACTTCTCTGACTATGGTTCTGTCCCCCTTTTGTGTATGAGTCATAGTCTTTTTGTAAGTCCCCGCTATGCATATAGAAATATTGTACAATATGAACATCAAATGGTATAAAATACCGACAACCTGTCAGTATTTTTACCATTTGATGTTACTCTTCAGACACTGCAACACAATGGTATCCCTTTGGGACAAAACCCAAAAACAACTGGGGAAAAATCAACTATGAGAATGCGGATTTCAGAGGGGCGGACCTCCGAACGACTATTTTACCTCTACAGTAGCCTTCATCTCGCCTTTCCCGGCGGGATAAAGGCTCCATCCTGGGCATTCAAACTCCATTTGTTTCAGACTTGGAACAAACTCGACGAAGAACCTACTGTGTAGGCGAAACGTTCAAAATAAAGATACCTAACTGTTGCAATGTGTCCTTACCTAACATTGACAAAAGTGTAGTACAGCCTCTCCTCATGACGACTCAGTTACCAACTGCTCAGACTTACGATCAGTCTCCAAACAATAAGCAAACCCAAGCAATGTATATTAAAGCTGATTTCTTCTTTCTGTGTTTCACCATCTGACTTGGGCCCTTTTATTTTCCAAAAACCCTTTAAAAATAATAATTAAATAAAACTGTATCCCAAAAAATT